AGTCCCTCGAAGCAATCACAATTCGGTGTACAGATAAAGAGTTCATTTCATTCCACGTGTTCACTAAATCTGTGCCGAAATTTCAAATTGATCCTTGAAGACATTATTTTGCCAAATCAGTCACTAAATTTGACAAAAGATTTCAATATGATCACTTTGTTAGTAATACTAATGCAAGTCTAACGCGCAAGTCATTAAAAGTCACCAGGGTCAAATGAGACATGATACCACTAAGCCCATACTAACTACCCTTTTTACAAAATTCTTTTTTACTAAATCATTATCAATAATACATTCTCATGATAAAAAATTCTGCACATATATTCAAAGTCTTTTCATACATTTTAATCACACATTCTGGAAAAATATGATTATTTCAAAACTCATTTTTCTCAAAATCTTCTTTTTAATAATTGTCAGACATAGAAATTATAGTTTTAAACACGACATGAAGAAAATTGAAGGTCCCTTTAATTTAATACCATCATTTGTTAAAAAGATTTTTTTTGTGCAATCTTGTTTCAGACTAATCAATTTAAGCATCCGTTTATTTTTCATTTTTCATCCATAAAAATGAAAAATATGATTGTTCTTCATCACATCAAGCCATCAATTTTGAATTTCTATCTCTTGTGTGGAGCCCAATAACGACTATATTTTTCATTCTCATTCTACAATGATGAGAATCAAATGGGCCAATTTACAACTTAATACTTGTTTGGGAGAACTCTAAAAAGTTGATTTTTTTAAAAATGAGCCGTGAGTTTCACGAAATGAGTGCTAAAAAGAGAATGTGACGTGTCGTTAAAACTAATTGTTCAATTTGACTTCAAGTTTTTGACAGTTTTTTAAAATTTTACCAAACTAGCACGACATTAATTGAGTGTCAATCGTTCGTCAATTACCAATTTGGTAAAAAAATAATTTCAAGGATGTACTTGAAATTCCACCACAACTCCTGTGACCAAATGTTAACTGAATCGGGAAGGTTGAATTTGCATCTCAAGTTCACACCATAACCAATAATGCAAGAATAGATTCAACACAAAGGTTTTCACTGAGTACATTGCTTATAATTTTCCCAACGAGATTTTGAAAAAAGTTCCTTATTATAGGCTCTTCCCTTGTTGTAACAATAATCAAGTTTAGAACATTTGAATTATAGATGCTATATCCACGAGCCATTGTTTGTGCTCCATTTTGAGGAAAAAATGTATTTTGCAATAATGATTTTTTGGGAATGTGGGGTTAAAAAATAAGAAAAAATTTGGATTTATGTGTAAAATTATTGTATTGAATAATGTGGTTAAAAGTTAGTTTTGAAAATTTTTTGATAAAATGGGTCTCAGACAAGGGTAAAATTATGTGGCATGCACGGACAGAAGGGGTACCACATTACTCGGCATTGATTATTCAATTGGATTGTACCTATTAAATTAAGTAAGGGAACAATACATTTCTTAGGCATTTACTTTACACTTTTCAAAAATACAAAAACAAGTTTCAACTTTCAAAAATCAGGTTTTTTAAATTTTTATTTATTAAATCAATTTATTATTACATTTTTATTATTACATATTTAATTCTAAAATAACATAATTATCCCACCCCACCTCCACCTCCACCACCCCTATCGCTCCGGGGACTATTCCGACTACCGTTCCGGTCACAACTCTTCTCCGACGACTGCCCCGATTCCGACGACTATTCCGATGATCGATCCGCTGTCGCTTTATTCCCGCGACTGCTCCGATTCCGACAAATGTTCCAACTCCAACGAATATATTAAGGTCACAGATCTATGCAATTTGATCACAATTCAAATTTTTCATAGGTCACAATTTTTTCATCGGTCACAAATTAAAAATTTAAAGATCACAATTTGTTCATAGGTCACAGATTACAAAATTTATAAGTTACACTACTTATTTTATGGTCACAATCATCACATTAATTGAACATAAATTATATTCAGGTCACAATTTATCAAATTTTTTTATCACAAATTAATTATTTTTAGGTCACACGGTATTTATTGATCACAATTTATCTAATTAATTGACCACATATTATTTATTGGTCACAAACCAACCAAATTAATGGTCACAAACAATCTAATCATTTGTAACCACCACCAAATCATTTGTGACCACTTCGCCACTGTCTCTACCAACGGCACCACCACCGTCGCTGCCCAATAGCAACATCAACATCTCAAACAAATCAAACACCACACCCTCCCACCACTACTATCACCACTCCCAAAACCGCATCCACCACAAAAAACCACCACTACTTTACCATCACCAAGTTGGCAGCGACGACGATGCCACCAACACCAACACAACCGTTTCTGAGCTCCAACTCACCACTCCAAAACCCCAACAACACCAAAACACGATACCACCCCCTCCCACCACCACTAGCACCACCCCCAAAACCGCAGCCACCACAAAAAACCACCACTACTTCACCATCACTGAGTCGGTATCGACGACGATGCCACCAACACCAACACAACCGTTTCTGAGCTCCAACTCACCACCCTAAAACCCCCAACAACACCAAAACACGGAACCACGACCGCCACTATCACTCCAACAACAACAAAAACCACGATCTCAACACCACGGAACCACGGTCGCCGCCTCATGCACCTGACACCCAACCGCCGCACCCAATCGCACCGCTGCCACACCCATACACACCCCCAACCGCACACCAACAGATCTGCAACCACCACAACCATCCGATAAATCAAACTTGAAAACTTTAAAAAAAAAAAAATTACAGATCTGGGCGCGCGACAACACAGTGAGGGAGAGAAGACAAAGAACGGTCCACTTCGAGCGTCGGAGAGAAGGCCGGGAATGGTGGAAGGGCGACATCGCAGTGAGGGAAAGAGAGAAGACAGAGAGACGATCCGCTTCGAGCACCGCTTCGGGGTTTGACAGAGTGAGACAGACGGTGGCAACGGAGGTTTGGGAGTAGGGAAATGAACGGTGGCGGTGGGCGGTGGAGGTGGCAGGCGGTGGAAGCGGTGGAATCGCCTTGTGTGGAGAGAGTGGAGAGACGGTGAGAGAGTGCGGAGGTTTCTGTTTCTTCAAATGAATTAGTTTAGAGTTTGATTAGTATAAAATTAAAAAAATAAAAAAAAAGATTTTAAAGTATTAATTAAAACCTGATTTTTGCAACATAAAACTTGATTCATGATTTATGAAAATTGTATTTTCAATTCAGGTCTAAGTGTAATTTCCTCATTAAGTAACCTCAAATGACCGCTTATTGGGCTTATACTTTGGCCCGCTTCATAAGGCCCATCATGGCCCATTTTCTTCCATTTATATAGGTGAGCTCATTTCACACCAAAGGGAATGTTTTATTCTAAAAATAGTCAAATCCCCTTTATCCCATCACTTGCACTTGTATTCTCTCTTTTCTAGCTGTTGATTTAATCGTCGAAGTGCAAACGATCGTTAAACATTTTTCTTGACCGACGCCTTTAATGGGATGTTCCAGTGTGCAAATGATGTATGCGTCGAGGGAAGGTGACCAGGATTTTATTGGCACGTTTTTTAGATCAACAATAGCAATCATTTTTTTTTTTTTCCGTTAATGAGGATTACATGACAATTTAACAAGATGTACACAGTTCCTGTTATACGAATTCGAATCTGCGACTACGATAAAAGAGTATGACCAACTTGTTTCCTTTTGAAGATTTCAAACTAGTGTGCTGCTGAGGCAATAGACTGAGGACTGATAATGCAATTTTCCCACCAGAATATATCAATGATGGGCTGGGAAGTACACTTCAGTCCCTCGAAGCAATCACAATTCGGTGAACAGATGTCAGATAAAGAGTTCATTTCATTCCACGTGTTCACTGAATTTGTGCCAAATTTTCAAATTGATCCTTGAAGAAATTATTTTGCCAAATCAGTTACTAAATTTGACAAAAGATTTCAATATGATCACTTTGTTAGTAAGACTAATGCAAGTCTAACGCGCAAGTCATTAAAAGTCACCAGGGTCAAATGAGACATGATACCACTAAGCCCATACTAACTACCCTTTTTACAAAATTCTTTTTTTCTAACTCATTATCGATAATACATTCTCACGATAAAAAATTCTGCACATATATTCAAAATCTTTTCATATGTTTTAATCACACATTCTGGAAAAATATATTATTTCAAAACTCATTTTTCTCAAAATCTTCTTTTTAATGATTGTCAGACTTAGAAATTATAGTTTTAAACACGACATGAAGAAAATTGAAGTCCCTTTAATTTAATACCATCATTTGTTAAAAAGATTTTTTTGTGCAATCTTGTTTCAGACTAATCAATTTAAGCATCCGTTTATTTTTCATTTTTCATCCATAAAAATGAAAAATATGATCGTTCTTCATCACATCAAGCCATCAATTTTGAATTTCTATCTCTTGTGTGGAGTCCAATAACGATTATATTTTTCATTCTCATTCTACAATGATGAAAATCAAACGGGCCAATTTACAACTTAATACTTGTTTGGGAGAACTCTAAAAAGTTGATTTTTTTAAAAATGAGCCGTGAGTTTCACGAAATGAGTGCTGAAAAGAGAATGTGACGTGTGGTTAAAACTAATTGTTCAATTTGAATTCAAGTTTTTGACAGTTTTTTAAAATTTTACCAAACTAGCACGACATTAATTGAGTGTCAATCGTTCGTCAATTACCAATTTGGTAAAAAAATAATTTCAAGGATGTACTTGAAATTTCACCACAACTCCTGTGACCAAATGTGAAATTAAATCGGCAAAAAGAACTACTGAGTATGGATTCTCTGTCAAGGTCAAGAGTTCATCAAATCAAATTTGAAAAATCAAATTCGATTTCATTTTCGACTGTTATATTAATCGTTCTTCCTCAAATCATCACGGCTGTATTTTGATGTTTTCATTTTCTCTTTCTACGTAATTTTTTGATCGGAGATCAAGCAATAAGCAAAATAATGGAGAGCGGCTTACCATTGACTGCGACGTTGTCGTCGAAATGGGAGAGGCGATCGAAATCAAAGAATTCTCAGACCACTTCCAAATCCTCTCTCCTTATGGTCTTCCTCTCTTGCCTCGCCTGGCTCTACGTTGCCGGACGGTACGTGGTTTTCTTGGGGGCATGTTTTTTTTTTTGTATATATTTGTTTGTGAATTGATGAAACTTGATTAGTGAGAATTTTGGTTTTTTTTTTTTGTGATCTGGTTTTTTGTATGTTCTATTAGTTTGTGGCAAGATGCAGAAAACGGAATGCTACTGTCTAATTTACTGAAGAAGAATTCCTTGCAGGTTTGAATTCCGCGTTGCTTTAACTTTCCTTCTTTTTCTTTTGTTTCTATTTGGGCTTTCTGAAAAAATGTGGGGATGCACAGGGTAAACTAAAAGGAAAAATGTATCTTGAGTAAAGAAATTGACAACACTGTTTCTGTTGAAAGTTTTCCAAAAGGGAAACAATAATGCTGAGAGCAAAGAAGAGTTTTTTAGTGTATAAATTGGTGAATGACTGAATGAGCTTGGTTGACTTTCTATTTAACACTTTAATTGTGTGATATGAGATGCTAAATGAGGCCAATATGAATACCCACCTCGGTAGCGTATTAGAAAATAGTAGATTTTCAAGTACTATTTTTAGGCATTGTGCAGCTAACCATAGAGTAATATGAATATGAGATTTTGGTTTCATGACACAAAACCGAATGAAGATGAATATGAGGCAAGAGGGAAATAAGCTATGGTTCTAAAAGGAAATCTTTTATGAAGTGCATTAAATAGCACATACTGCAAATACAATTTATGATTAAGAAGGTTTCAGCACTTTTGCTATGTGAAAAGGAGACTAAAGCGATGCCAAATGAAGGAATTTAATAAAGGTCATGCTTACTAGTGAATGGGCAAAGGGATTGGTCCTAGATGAAGGTGAGTAAGATTCATTTTGATGTGCCTAGATGTTTGGAATGAGAAAAAAAATGCTAAAAAAATATTTTCAATTGACTTTTCCAGTCTTACTATTTATATTGTGAATTTGGTTGCCCAAAAGGTTGGATGCTGAATTTGAGCTTCTCTTTTTATTACTAAGTCATTTAGTGATGAGCGGAACACGGGATGGGGGAGGACAACCCCCATCCAAGCACACATAAAACACACGTGAATAAGTAAATACTAATAACTATTATCTCTGCTCTCTTTTTGGCAGCGGCCGAAGGTGCTTTCGGTGGATGACAAACTAATGGTCCTAGGATGCAAGTATATTTCTCAATAGCTCCAATTTACTTTACATGATTATTAGATAATATGCTTTTGTAATGGGTAAGTTTTTACTATTTAAGATGCACTTAAGTTTTTTATTGTGAACTTTTAGGGATTTGGAAAGGAGAATTGTTGAAGCTGAAATGGAATTAACACTGGCGAAGAGTCAAGGTTACCTTAAGAGCCAAGTGCAGCGGAGTGATTCCTCTTCTGGTAAAAAACTACTCGCTGTTATTGGAGTTTACAGTGGTTTTGGGAGTCGGTTGCGGCGTAATACATTCAGAGGGTCTATGACATCAAAAGGTCAGTATAATTCCTGATTTCTGCATGTGATCCTTAGATTGATTTTATTGTTTTTAAGCTGATACTGCATTGATTATTAGCGAGTGTCCTTAGACTTTATAATATTGTATATATTCTTTGATAAAATTGCATGTGGTCCTAATTTTCAGTTCTATCATTGCACTATACAAAGACCTGTTATAACTATGACATTTAATATTTTTCCGTAGAAAACTGATACTTGTTGCATTTTATTCTTCTTTGAACCATTTTTTGTTTTTTCAACTTTTGCTGTCATTAAAGTCTATTTTAACTTGTACATCCAACCACACCAACATTAAAGGGAGCAATTTCAAATGGTAATAATATCTTTAGATGTGATTGTAGTTAGAAGACTGTAAACTTGAATTTATTATTAATGAATGCAAACTTCATGCTTTCAGGTGATACTTTACAGAAGCTTGAAGAAAGAGGGATCATTGTACGATTTGTGATTGGTCGAAGGTTTTCCTTCCCACTTAGAAACTGTGCTCCCTAATTAAGACTACTTTATACACTTTTTCCTTGTCCTTTTCTCTTCTGCACTATCAATTTCTGATGAGGAATAACCAAATTTATCAACTGAACTTAATGAAACATTAATTGGTTGCTTGAATTTTGCAGTCCTAACCGCGGTGACAGCTTGGACCACAATATTGATGAGGAAAATCGTGTGACAAAGGATTTTTTGATTCTTGTAAGTTATTAATCTTTGCTTGCCTTAAATTGATTCATAAATTTGTGTTGTCTAATATGCGTCTTAAACTCTTTGTACCTAGTAACAGGTTTTCTCGTCATTTATTTCTTCCCGTTCTTCTTAGTATTGGTTTTCCTTCAATTATTAGGAAATTAAAATGAAAAACATTTACTTCCCATGGAGATTATAAAATCTGAAAAAGTGCATTATTATTTTATTAGGATGGTCATGAGGAGGCTCAAGAAGAATTGCCCAAGAAAGCAAAATTCTTCTTTAGCACAGCAGTCCAGACTTGGGATGCAGAGTTCTATATAAAAGTTGATGACAATATTGATCTTAACTTTGGTAAATGCTGACATTTTATATTTTTTTCTAAAACATGTCTGCTTGTTGTGTATCTCACCTGCATCTAAAAGTATTTATCCTCGTGACTGGTTGTAAATTTCACATTAATGTGGGAACATTACAGCTTGATAGCATATACTCATATATGCTCCGTTCTCTTGGCAGATGCGTTGGTTGAACTTATCAAGAGTCGACGTGGTCAAGATGATGCTTATATTGGATGCATGAAGTCTGGTGAAGTAGTTTCTGAAGAGTAATACAAATACTTTTGATTTGACTCAGTTTTACTTTACATTGTCTATTTTTTTCATTGCTAGAGCTGGTTAGACTACCAGTGGCACTTGAACAAGTCAGCAATTGTTTTTCCCCTTGTCTACAAGTAATGCGGGCATGCAATTGTTATTGTTAATTTTTGTGCTTTTATTGGTCTCCACAACACTCCCTCCTGTCTTGCTTCCCTTGAGACATCCCTGATTTTATTTCTCTTTTGGTCCAGTGGTAGCCATCTTAAAATTGTGTGAATTGTTTTTGGTTAATGAAAACCTTTATATCATTTTAGCAGCCATCTTGGAATTCTGTATGGTGAACTTGGTACCATGTCATCATATAATCTCCTCTTTAGATCTAGTAGTAGTATATGTATGCTGTTTCTGTGATGAAAAATATAATAACTAATATTATGTTCCTATATATATTTGGTCAGTCCTTTTGATAGTGGCTGTGATTTAGTCTTGGCCACATCCTTCTCAGTGCTTTGAGGTCTTCTGTTGTATTTATTATGTATACCTTTATTTACATGTAAAAGAATTTGGTTTTGTTTAGGAACTACATCTGAACTATTATTATCATGCAGTGTCATATGTGCATGCATTGTTGTGTTTGCATTACTTGTGATCCATGCTATATATTATCTAAACAACTTGAAGTTCCATATATTACATCTGGAAATACTCTGTATACAAATTAGTCTCTTTCACTTATCATCTTAAATATCCAAATATTGTTTAAATTTCAGGGGAAAACTGTGGTATGAGCCTGAATGGTGGAAATTTGGTGATCAGAAAACGTAAGTAAACCAATATAAGAAAAATTATGGGATATTTACAGATCAGAATTTACATTTGTGTAAAATAGATATGGATCTTGTGTAAAGTTCTTTTCATGGTTGAGGATTTGTTTTGAAAGTGCGCTCGCACACATTTCTCACGTTATTGGCACCTAACGTGTTCCAGTAGAAGTCAATGGCACCTAGTGGGTTCATTTTAAGATGAGTATGTTTTCGAAGTTATTCATTCTTTTCTTCTTCTTTTTGATGGGGGTGGTTGGGAGGCGGAACCAATCTTTGTGGGTATCATCAACCCTAATTTTGTACAAATTAGTATATTAAGTATCTCCAATATTCTTTCAGGTACTTTCGCCACGCAGCTGGTTCTATTTTTATACTGTCAAAGAATTTGGCTCAGTATATTGACATAAACAGGTTAGTTATCTGAGCTTAAGTTGGAACTACAGTTTTGATTGGCAAAAGATCTTTAAGGTAAATCCTTCTAGCTAGTATCCAAGTTTTCAGACTGCCAAGTACTTATATGTTAGTAATGCTTATGGGTCATTCTCGGCAGACATGATGAATATTACTGTAACAATGATTTTATGACCATCTTTAAATTTTAAGACATTGTTTTGGGAGCAAGATTATAATTAAAGTCATTTTTTTTATCAAAGCTTGAGTCCTTCCACGATAAACCGAAATGAGTTGGGATTCTTCAGTCTTCATAGGAAGTATGGATGTTGCTGAGCTTTAATATTGTTTTATGCTGCCTTCACTGCAGTTTATCTTTAAAGGCTTATGCTCATGAGGATACATCAGTGGGATCATGGATGATGGGTCTTCAAGCAACTTATATAGATGACAGTCGGCTGTGCTGCAGTTACGCGGGCCAAGGTAAGTACACATTTACCATGTTATTTCAACAGTTTGTATCCTGTCTATGTTATTTCCTACTATCTACTTTGTAATATCTATCCCTTCCTGGATTAGTTTTTCTACTACTTTTTTTCCTTTGGGTGGTGTTGGTGTTTGTCTTTCTTTTTGTTTTCTTTGGGGGCAGGGGTGGGTAGAGGAAGATAATAGGAAAATAGACCAGCAAAAAAGGATTGAGTACTATGGAAGAATTCTATAACTACGGAACCGTGTTATTTAAAAAAGGAAAGAAAGAAATAGAAATAGAAATAGGGCAGTCTTTGTTTAAGTAAATGGTTCTCCCCCCATTGTTTAACCTAGCCACTGGAATAATACGAAAATGCAAGTCCTTGATTTAAACCAAATGTACTGTTTGTGAATTTGATGGTTTTAGACTTATCAATAATGATTCGCATTTTGTACAGAATATCCCAATTTCACATGATATTAACATAGTTTGAATTGTTGTATTCCAGACAAGGCGTGCTCATTGGCGTAAGAAGAAAAGCTATCCGTTTTTTCATCACTCCTGAATTCAGTATGGGCAGGAAATGCAGTTGGTGCATATCGAATGTGGTTGGGGGAACTGATTCTTTGTAGCATTTAGTACCGGAATGATCTGTGGAAAATATAGGTTAGAGCATTCTTTTCATTGAGTCGAATCTTACTCAATACAGAGGATGTACACAAGTTTGCTGAGACTGTATACCTACAAAACTGTAACTTGTATGGAGTTCAGCTTTAGGTGTATAATTCTTGGCATTTATCTGAGACAGACATTTCTTACTTTCTAAGTTTTCTCTCTCTTCTTATGCAAGCTAAATTATGTGCACTTGGGGGTGTAAACAGGGACTTGCTAGCGCTGGCTTTTGGGGCCTGGAATGCCTAAATTACTCCTGGCACGCATAGCCACGTCCTGGACTTGGCAATACCAAGCCAATACTATTTTAAAGAAATAATAGGCCACGGGCCCTACGAGCCATGCCATGCCTAGCCTAGCCCGGCTGTAAGGTCGCCCCAACCTGGACGGCTGGCTTGACACTCCCAAGTGCATTGTGATTTTATACTATCTTATTCTTTGAAGACCAAGATGATGGCAAGTATGCCTAGCTCCTCTAGTAACAATAATTGAAACAATTCGAGCTCCTCCATTAACCTACGTCAAATTCCCAGCAATTATCCTTCCCGCTCAAATTTATGGATGGATACACCTCTAGCATGTTATACCCAAATCTAGATAGCTAAAATATTAATAAAGTGAGAAATTGAGAATTGATCAGAAATAAAAATATTTACTACCTTAAATGTACATAGACAACAATTTTTTACATAACATTCAGGATTAACCATTTACATGTACTGGTCAAAAATCTTGACAACAAACACGAATCTAGTTGCACACACTTTTCTTTCCAAATTATCGAGATTAAGATGATGCAGCAGCCCCGAATTTATTCGGCTGGTTCTCGCCCAACAAATTTGTCACGATTAAATCAACATCCTCTAAAGCAACAACAATGAACAGAGGTTTGGACAGACTCCTAACAGAAATGTTGGAAAAAAACTGGATACGTGGCTGACTTTGGCACGAATTTTGAGTGGGACCCGCTTGGCTATTTTGAAAGATGAAAGTTGATTTGTGTTCTCCTCCGTGAGTACATCGAAATCATATACTTGTCAAAAATGATGCTCGGGTGAATGAGAAATTGAAACTCAAAATATGCCATGTGAAATGAGTTTGTTGGTGGGAATATAAATTTTTTAAGTTTTGTCCCACATAGGAAGTGGATGAAAGTTAAAACCACTTCATAAAGGATTGCACTTTAAAATGGTGTAATCATGTGTAGCATAGAGGCTCTCTCCACGTGCGTGCGCAGATGGGTGACATTGGACCTTGAACTTGTGTGCGAACGCGACCTGTGTACACGAATGTCGGACCGAAAGGAGCAAAATTGGCCCCTTAGGAGTGTCCACTTTTTTTTAATTTTTTCAATAGACTTTTGGTTTTTCAAAACTGTTGAAACTCCAAAACGACTGTTGTAATTGCTATGAAATGAATGAGCAGGTTGCAAGATCCTAAGCCTATATATATCTCCTTTTTGCAGTCTTCAGTATGCGAAAAATTCATCTGCATATTCATCTGGTCACAGTTGGAGTCTGCTCTCGTTTTTACTTTCTGTTTCTTTGTCTTGTTTGGTGATATTGTTCGGGCACTGGTTCAGTTCGCCGGAGTACAATCTGTGGTGCTCAGATTATACTGTTTCGCCGTTGTATCCTGGGAAACGGACGCTCTGTTAAACCTCAAGCACAGACGGTGAGGGAGCGAATCTGTTTTAAGGAAACTGTGTGGAACACAGGCCTCGGGTTAAAAGTTTGCTGTCATTTAACTTCTACGATTATTTATTAGTCACTCGTTTATGCAAATTTGTTTTTGTAGTTCTGCTTAAATCAACTTTTAAACTTTACTGCAATTTAATATATATTGTCGAATCTACTACTATATTATATCTGTTGTGTATATTTGAATCCATTGTATTCAAAGTTATTGAATCTGCTACTGCGAATCCGGTATCCAATATTGAAACAATTTTCCTACAAGAAACATCAACTCCACCAGCTTGAACTCCAAATTCAATCCCGACTATCGTCTGAAATTCCTCTAACAATGCTGTAGCACCTGATTTCTTGCATTTTCCATCCATACACACCTCGATTTTCTTAGCAAAAGCTACTTTAACCATGGTATTCCCATGGCTGCAATTAACATTATTTGTGTCTCTACATAAGCTATCTGTTCTAGAACAACATTCTTGAACTGATCCACAAGATTCAACGCCCCTCCCAACGTCAATTTTCTCCTCTATGATCGCACTCAGAAAGGCTGGCACTGACTCCAAAATGCTCGTTTGTAACTCCATAGTTGTCCCCTATTGGGTGGACAGGCTAGGAGGGGGTGATATTACTTCCTCATCCACTCGTTGCAAAGTATCCGGGACTGCCTGTGGGCGTTTATGGTGGTTCATGTTGACCACCTCTCCGCATTCACTATCACTTTCGGAAGAACTTGAAGAGCAAGAAGTTATTCAAGGAACAAAGGTCTACGTGGACAATTCTTATTGGTTGAAGTTCGAGTAATCCGATGTATGCTGGCACCGACATGCCAGGAGCCTTTTTTTAAGGAATAATGCTATTCACAGCGAAAACTATCGATAATCTTCCTATGTGATATGTATGTGACGATTTTTGATTTGGTGCATTAATGTAGTAGTTTTTTTTTTTTGGGAAAATTACCTGAAAGGTTGCCTTTGAAGATTAATTTTCAAAAAAAGGGGGGTAAGTTTTCTTTTCAAAAATCAGGTGTTACTTAGGTTTTAATAATTAAAAGAATAAAAATTTAATTAAGTCTTAATCTGCATCATAACTTGACCACCCCAACCCCGATTAATCTCAAACCCAACCCTCCATTCTCTCTCTCTCTTTCTACAGGTCTCTCCCACCCCAATTAATCTCAAACTTAGCCCTCCACTATCTCTCTTTCTCTCTCTTTTTACAGGTCTCTGTATCTTTCTCTCTTCCATCCATCACTCATCATTTTCACTCTCTCTAGTCCCTACCACCACTCCACCCTTAGGGCGGAGCAAATTTGCCAGAGAAAGCCGATGCACACAACGGTTTGCCGTTGCTTGAAGTGGAACAAAACCAAACCCGTATCTTTTTCGAAGCCACTACGCGCGATGATGCACGACGGTAGGCACTGGTAGTGGTTGCGAAGCATATCGCAAGTCGACCATCTAAGAGTTGACTTCTTCCCCACCCACCTTCTAGATTCCGACCACCTACCACTTCTTTCACCGGAGTTTCTCGAGACCAGTCACCTACTGCATCGGCGGCTGCAGCCTCTCGCAACAGTTCGGTAATGACACTCTCTCTCTTCCCCAAAAATCAGATCGACAGTTCAGTGTTGTGGGGAGTTCTTCAGCGAAGTTATGTGGTCGTGACGTGGTGGTGGTTATGGTGGATGGTTGTTGCCCTGATTCCATGATACACTCAAACTCGTAGTTGCTGTAATTTAGTAAGAAGAGGTGGTTGATAGCCTACCACGTGCAATGGTATGCCTGAATGTTGGTCAGCGTTTGTATAATTAAGTTATAAATCTAGTTTTATTTGTATAATGTTTTGGTAATTCTATATCAATCATTTGGAATCTGTGTTGTAGTTTCTGTTTATTATTAGTGTAGCTTTAATTTCTGATAATATTTCAAATATGGAATGCGTTGTCCTTTTCAACATTGAGGAATATAATAGTAATTTTCATTTAATTTGAAGTATTAATTTTGGATTGATTGGATGTAAATATATGAAAGTCTAGAAGATAAATTTTAATTAAGCATGTCCG